AAAAAATTACGGTTAATTTCTGTATCTCTGTCTTCACACCTTTAATGAGGCAGAGTTAGACAAGGCAGGACTTGTTTGCTTGCAATGTTGATCATGCTGGAATTGTGTCGCATCCCTCTGGTCCCTCCACTGTGCTCAGCAGAGTGCCATGCGCTCGGGGTGGGAGTCTCAGGAGAAGGCTGCTGGGAGGCTTTTAAATTTTGGGGAACAGCAAACAATCTGCAAGAGTCGCGAAGAACCTGCAAGAGCCACGAAGATAAGTGTGTGCATATAGATACTGTTGTTTTTTTTTTAAATCTTTATTCTTTTTATGTAAGAAAATAATATTGTGATAAGGCAGTAATGAAACAAAACACTTGCAGAGTCGAGGCAGGAGGAGGGGACCACCATCCCGTGCACTGAGCAGATGAGCTGTGTGGTGCAGCCTGTGGCTGCAGGAGCAGAAGAGAAGCTCTCATTTAAGCACCAAGAAGTACGTTGTCCAGCCGGCGAGCAGCAGCGCCCCGACCAGCACGGTGTAACTGAAGAGCACGAAGGCCAACAGCTCCTTCAGCACCTTGAGGAAGTGTACGGCGAAGGAGTCCGGCATCCTGCTCCCCGGCGCTGTGGCAGGTAGGCTCTCAGGGCTGGCTGTCGCTCTGCTCCTCCCCGCTCTGCAAGCAAAGGCACAGGATGAGTCTTTCCAAGCGAGGAGAGTGCGGAGCTGGCGGGGTGGCTCCGCTGTGGGCGAACACGGCTGTGTTCAGGAGGGTTAACGGCCGCAGGTTGTTAGCGTCAGGTTGGATTTGTGTGTGCGCTTGTGCAGAGTCCTGTACGGGGCTGCCAAGCTGTGCAGTGTTGAAAAAGAGTTGGGGATCTGATCAGAGTCTCCCAAGCAGGACAGGCAGCTAAGCAAAATAATTACAGCCACACAGGCCGCGCACGCTGCTGTGTCGGTCGGGGTCTTACAGAGCCCACCTGGCTGCCGGGACCGTTCCCTCGTGTCCGTGGCTGCGTGTCCAGGAACCTTCACGTTCAGCGCGCTTGCTGATGGTGCATTACCAACAGCGTGTGCTCATCAAAGTGGTCAATTCCTCCAAGGAAGCCACCATTAATATTTAATGCTATAATTGCATCTAATGGAGATACTGGCACAAACTGAGCCTTTTGTTTAAGAATGATGAAAACTGGGGCTTGGATACAAGTTTGCACAGGCAAATATTTGTATCTCACCTTAAAAATAACCTTTAAATGGGAGACATGGGATAGGATGCTTTAGAATTCATCTTCTAGCTGTGTCTTCAAGTCACACTTGCACATCGCTTTGGAAGTGGTTGCTCATTTGCTAGTTTAATAGAAAATCTGAACCCTTTCACAAAAGCTGCTGGCTTAAAGCTGTGACAACCCATCTAAAAAATTCTACCGTCTCTCAAATTTACGTGTTCCTTTTAATTTTGATCATAACCATGCCTGATAGAAAAAAATATCCACCCTCTTTGTCAAGTACATAAAAGTAATTTAAAACAAGGTGTAAGCTAAAGCTAATTAGTTCTCTTCCAAACAGTCTAATGCTAGATAAAGTAAAATGAATTCCCATCCTGCCATCTAGAATATTTTTAAGAGCTCTTGTGCTAAAGAATTCACTTTTTTTGGTCTTACTAAAGAGGTCATAAAGCACTGAAGCTTTTTTATTTACGTGCTTTGACGTGATTTCTGATTATCTAAAAAAGATGTTTGATAAAGAAATAAACTGCTTACCCAGACACGATGGGCTCTACTTCATAAAGATCTTGTTTCTCTCCAGTTTTGTGCTGCAGCTCTCCCTTGAATTTGTGGCTTCTCACACGGTTTGTGCCGTAGTTTGATCCCTTCGGATGTGCTGGTCCGGGAGCCAGGAGTAATGAGTTTGTGTTTGCAGCCCACAGGAGGACTAATGCACTAGGTGTGGCCAGGGCTGGTTATTATATGACACAGCGCCCTGGCTCTGCGCAGCGCTCGCCAGATCGCTCCGCTGCCCAGCGCGCTTCTGCCAAGAGCCCTTTGTGAGGTTAAGCCCCACGGCTTTAGTGGTACCTGCCTTTGTGTTGAACGTTGTGTCATGTTCTACTGATTCTGCAGTTCGCTGGAAGGCCCTTGTGCCTCTTGCTCCCTTCTCTGAGCACCCTGCCTTGCTGGGGGGGATGCTCCCGTGGAGCTGGGGATCGCCACGGAGCAGCAGCACGTTATGGGCTGGGCCTGTGAGGGCTGAGTTGGGCTCTTGGGATAAAAGACAGCCTGAGCGCTGCTCTGGCCTCAGCTCCCCGCTCTAGCTTCACCCCTGCACACCCGAGAAGTCATCCCTACCTTTTAGAGAGGGAGCTGCAACGCTTGTTTTTTTGCAGCAATGGAGGGAGGAGGGAGATAAGCTACATATTTATTTTTAGCAAAACTGCTTTCCGATAATATTAGATGAAAAGTGAAAGTCTTTTGGGGTGGAGGTTGGGTAATGTTGGTGGTTTTTTTTTTCCCCCCTCTTGTAAACCACACTGATGCAGGCAGCAGGAAAAGTATGTACTGCAAATCAAATCTCTTACCTACAAAGATATTATGATGTAGCAAATGGCCCCTTAATTTAATTAGGGTCTCTTGTTATCAAATTATTACCCGCTTGGTCAGCAAGGCCTTAGGACAGAAACAGAACATAATCAAGCTGCTCAGGAAGCCTGTTAAGTAGTAATTGCTCCTCCAGAGAATCAATCAACGCCAGGATAGCTTTTATTTTTTGCCGTTGTTGTTGAGCAGTTCCAGGAAGAGACTTTGTCTAGTTTGAGTGTCCCCATGGCTCCAGTTTGCTGGTGGTGGTGGTGCAGGCTACAGTTTGCAAAAATGCCACGCAGCAGAGGTGGTGATAAATTAGGAGTTTACCAAGTGACCACTGTAAACTCCTTTCCAAGTAAGTTATGCCTCGTGTTACTAACAAAGCTATTTGCTGGGCCAAGCGAGGAGGTGAACGAGCTGTTGAATTGACACTTTGTGTTGTTTCCTTTACCTGCAGTGTAGCTTTTACACATTTTGACCATAGCTCACCAACTAGCCTGATCGATGCTATTCATTTCCTTGAGATTAGTTCATTTTTTTAAGATTTAAAAAAAAAAAAAAAGATAAATCTGGAAATTATGATAGTACAAAGACCCTCAAGGCTCAGTTAAGGGCACTGAGTAAGGATTGGTTCTTGGTTTTCTCTGCACAGTGATGCAGACGTTCAAAACTACTTTGTTTTTCTTTTAAAATGCTGTGAAATTACAGTCGAATTGCAGAAATAATGCAGAGCGAGGCAACCCATGTCCGTGTCTTGCATCACTGTCAAATTTGCAGCATGTTTTCCTTTAATTCAGTTAGTTGGGGCAGGGGGAGAAAGACACAGGTTCCACAGTGCAGGGTTTTGCTTTATATTATTTGAGAGAGTGCACAGACACTTTAAAAAAAATTGCAAACACATTTAATTTTATTCTAATAATCCAACTGGAGTTAAACAGACAGAAGGGCTCTGTAAAGGGCCTCCTTTGGCAGAACTCAATCGTAAAAAATAAACCAACAGACTGAAACCCACAGTCATAACTCTTAACAGCTTGGAAAAATGAAGGTGTTTTATTTTGGGACATATTACGCAGGATAACTAAGAGCAGAAATGTTTGTTAAGAGTGTGATTTAAGGTGTGAGGTTTCGGGCTGCACAGGCATAAACAAGCACCCCGGCCGCCTCCTCAGGCTCCAGCAGCTGCCGGAAGCTGCCTTGTGGACTCAGCAATGCCGAGGTCCAGCCACCAAAATCATGGAAAATTCCGTTTTACAATTCTGAGCTCTACAATTGTGGCAGCAAGTACTACCATGATTTATAAACTGCACAAGGAGGAGCGTGCAGGTGTGAAAAAAGCGTCTGTTTTAAACCCACTGTTTACTAGGTCACTGATGGAGCTATTAAAATAGCTCCTATTAAAATAGGCCCGAGTCCCATGTGGGGAGCCTGTGTGTGTGTCTTCAAACCTGACACACTGATGTCATTCATACCCTGGAGTTGCCTTCCAGGCTCAGACGGGTGTACCCAGGACAAACTGATCCCTTCTGAGAGCAACTGAAATAAAAGGTTCAAGCATCTCCTCATAATTTGGGTGCAGGTGGTTGTATTTGCAGTCAGTGCTGTTGCTGCAGAAAACCCAATGAGTGCCTTGGCCAAAGCGTGCAGGACAGCAGACTCGAGCGTGGCCTGCAGGTCACTACCCCTGACAGCTTGTGCTGCACAGGACAAACAGGTCCTGCAAGTGTGGCCTTCTGGATGCCTGAGAGCCATGAAGTTTCTAAACCCATGCAGTAAAAAGTTACTGCTTCCCCTTTACAGTTCTTTTTCTATTGCACAATCAGCTTCCAAGGATTTGACAGAATTTAGTGACTGCGGCCCCAGTCATTGCTGCTGCTGCTGCCTGTTGATGTGAACACGCTAAAGCTGAGGGAAGCACAAGTTCCTTGGCTTTCATCGGAAAGATGAGCCGGAAACTGAACCCTGGGTACTGGAGAGGTGCAGCCAAGTACAGATCTCCGACAGAAACTGATCCAGCGCACTGATGAAGATGCCAGGCACCAGAGAGAGACAGAAGGACTGGGAATAGTGGTATGAATCAGGAACAGAAAACATCCTGCCTCCTTAGCACCTTAGCAGGGTAAAAAGAAGCAATCACATCTCCCACAAAACTAAACTGCAAGAAAAAATAAGCAGCAATTTGCCACATAGAAAGGGCAAATCGCCACTGCCCCCCCATGTTTGTTTGCCAATTCAGATCACGAGCAGGGATCTCTCTCTCTCCCCTAGTTTCATGGTTAGTACCTTTCAGTGCTGCTTGTCTAGGAACTACACACTAGGAAGTCCCACAAACAGTAGGAACATGAGTGCAGAGAGGGATGGGGGTAACTTCATCGTGAGCTGGTCTCAGGAGAGCTTCTCTCACCCTTGTGTTTCCCCGACGTTCAAGCAGCCATGCCAGAAGACCAGAAGCTGACGTGCCTGTGTCACACAGGGCCTTTTGCTTTTATTGTCTCTTGCCCTAGACCCTTAGAAGGGGGCAGGCTCCAGTTTTTCCATCAAGGATTTGATCCAAGTTGTTCCATTGATCAGCTTTGTCGTGGCAATGACATACTCTGTGCCTCCATCTTCCATTTGGGACAGAAATCTCAGGGCGGCGATTTCTGCGTACGTTACACCTCCCAGGAAGAACACCAGAGTGACTCGGTTCTCACCATGTTGACCTGCGTATTCGGAGAAATTTTTATTTAATTTATTTATTAAGATGTCAAACTCAAAATGACCTAAAAATAAAATAAAGATAAGCCTCTGAATTAGAGGGGAAATCTACTGGATGCAGTACCAGCCTGGAGCCCAGAGATGCAGACTCTGCTCCCAGCTCTGGAGGTTCCCAGGCATAACACTAGGAGCATAACACTGACCTTCTTTGTGAAGTCGTGTTAATTATTAAAATCATGCCGTAAGGTTAGAGTTTATTTTAGTACTCTTGAGTTTAGTTTGCCTCATTCCAGCCTAACAGAGATGCATCTCCCTTTTAACAAATGGGAAAATAAAGGAAAACTTACGCTTTTTCTGAAGGCCGGTAGGTAACTGCTGCCTCTCCTCAAAATGGGGACCCGGCAGCATCTTCAGAACCTCCTCGATGCTCCGCCACCCCGGCCGAGCCAGGAGCTGTGCCAGGCGTACGCTCAGTGGAGCGTAGCCACTGTACACGTAGGAGATATCGTTGGGGTTCTGCAGGAGAGAGCGGAGAGTGAGTGCTACTTCATGCTGCAGAACAGCACCACAGAAAAAAAAAAAATCAAATAAAATCAAATAGACAAAGATGCAGGTTTTCCTGCTGCACGTAATCCTGTATCATTAGATGTAGTGTTCACTGCTGAGGTGTGCGCTTACCTGTTCGTTAACATCATCCATCCATAGGCGCAGGGTTTTCCTGATCGTTGGGTAGTTATTCCTACCACTTGTCTGAGGTTTTAGGAGCCCAGCTTTTTCCAAGTTGTTTAATGTCAATATATGTTCATAGCCATAAGTCTGCAACGGGAACAATTCACCTTTAATACCATGTCAGTCCATGACTAGAGTGTTTAAAAAGAAGAGGGAAAAAAACCCCACAAAAAAACCCCTGCAAATGTGTTAGTTTAAAAACATTTTTCTGATTAAGATCTCACTAGAGCATATCCCATTCAGTGTTCACATCACAACAGCAAGAAGTGCAGTGATGTGAACCTCTCCAATGACATAAACCTCTCTATCTACGTGTTGTAAATCACATATAAGCACCTCCCGAGTCATCGCTCTTGGCCCAAACAGGAGCCTCAGTGCTCCATCTGCACACACAGGACATCAACACTACACATACGATGCATTTGTCTAGAAATGCAAGTGTTGTAGAGCTGAGGTTCTAATGTGGATTTTCTCTGCAAGTTCTCAGTCCAGAAGTTACAGCCCAACCTGGAGAATCTCTCTTTTGTAATAGTCCAGAACCTTCTGCTTCAGCCCACTGTTGCACACAGATTGCAAGCAAACGAGACGCAAGATCTTGATTAATGGATGTTTTTGAGCTATGCAGTCTTCAATATAATTGTTAACCTAAAAAAAAAAAAGAAATACATAACCTGTTATTTAAAGACCTGTTAAAAGCACATAAACACCTGGAAAGAAAGATCTCGTTTTGCCTGGTATCTCCAAAGCACCAAGAACACGGGTGCAGCTGCTCCAGGCAGCTCAAGATCAGCTGTAAAACCGTGACCGGGCACTGGTTCCACCTAGCGTCCTTCCAAAGCACGGCGACTCCACAGCCAAAAGTTAGACTGAGTCAGATGTGCTGAAAAATTCAGATTAAGGGTATTAGGGTTCAGTGTGTCCCTGACCCCTCGCAGCACACAGTGCCCCTGTACAAGTCCGAGCAGCCCAGCAGTACGAATCTGCATCGCAGGCAACGACAGGTAACCAGAGCTCACAACCCCGAAGTTGGAAGGGACAAGTATCATCTAGATCATGCTCGCTCAAAAAAAAAACAAGGCAAAAAAACCCCCCACAACCGGGAAAAGCACTGTTATTCTTGAAGATGTAAGGGTCACTAATTGTCATTATCTACTTACCTTGTCTGTGTCTATTCCAGACATGAACTCTTGTTCCACTGTCAAATTATCAAAGAAATCTTCAGATGCTTTGGGAAAAAAAAGGAAAATCAATACAGTAGCAACCCACAGCTTGCTTTCTTATTTTCTACATTTAACATTTCAGCACAGATGCACTGGATGGAGCCAAGCCAATTTTGGCCAACCTGAATTGCGTCCATCAAGTTGTCTTGCATCTTGCTATATTTAAATTGGTCAGACTCTTTGTCGACTACTCACTGGTGATGTCTTTGATGAGCTCTGCAATGGAGGTGTGGTTTGCTAGAGAACTTCTTGCTGCCTGCATGTGTGGCAACTGGGAGACAAACTGCTTAATCTCGCCAACGGTTTTCGCGTGGTGTCTTTCCTAAAGAAATCCGTCACTTAGGTTAGGTCTTGTTCCAATTAACAACACCAACTGTATCATGAAAAGTTTGTTACTGTAGCTACTGCAACAGCAGATACTGCTTTAAACCTTTTAAACAAAAGACTTTAAATGCTTATTCTAAGGTCACATAATTACCTGTACCAGCACTCTGATCATTAGGAGAGGCAGGACACAATACAACAGGATCACTAGAGTGGTTTTTTCATTGTACCAGTGGTGTCAATCACTTTTCTCCACCTTTAGCTGACTTCAGCCATCACTATCTGCTCCTCCCTTTCCCCACCTGCAACACCACCTTTTTCACACACAGATGAATAACGCTGCACGGAGCTCGGGCAAATGCAGCTGGAGATGGGGGATGTTTCCTCTCAACGCAGCACTGATAGGTGCTGAGGAACTGGGCTGGCAGGGTCTGTGTCCCTCGGAAGCAGAAGCCTGCCGCTCCCTGCAGGTGGCTGTAACAATGTCCCAGGCTTTGAGCAAGGATCTAATGAAGCACAATGCAGACTTCAGCTCTCAGAGCAGTCCAGAGGTCTGGATTTCATTTGGGCTACTTGCCTCTTGCTGCAACTTGGAATAAAAATAATAGTAATTTGACTCATGTGAAGGATTTAAATGGGCAAGTGCAGGCAGGAGAGGGATCATGATGAAGCCTGCAACTGAAGAAGTCCTCTGCTGCCAATATGCTGCTGTTTCATTATTGCCTATTACTTCTGACAATTCCTGATTTTTTTTTTAACAACCACTGTGAATAATCCATCTTTAGCACCTTGAGCACTAATACCACAGTAAAAGACATTTACTAGGCAATGAGGGTGAGCCCCACTATTTCAGTTAAGGTAGCACTACCTCACCTTAAATATTGCAGAAGTGAAGAAGCAGATTAAAAAAACCAGGGAAATGCAATCAAACAGTTTAACAAGTTCTCTCAAGAATTCTGTGAAAATGAAAATATCACCATGAAGCCTGAAAGCAGAGATACGGGGATCTCAGTTTCTTTATGAATCAACAGGACGTTTTCAGACAAAACCACCAACACACCCACAGCAGTCTCCAGCTTTGTTTGAGGTGACATGAGCATAAATTTACAGGTCAAACCTCCCATGAGACAACTGTCTTTCTCACATTCCTTTTGTTTTTTATGCGAACCATCATACTCTGTGAAGGTACCTTCTGGAGTTTTATTTCTTCAAGACTTTTCTCTGCATCCTCGATGAATGCAAAGGGAAAAAGACCTCTCAGTTAATAGGTAACAACAGCAACAAAGCAGAAGTGATCACTGTGCTGGAATTAACCTTTGGCCTCCTGCCGAGGGAAGCAGCACCTGACTGCTCTGCAGACTGAAGAAAGCAATTCCTGTGATGGGAACTGTGGGCTCACACAGCAGCAACGCGGTTTAGGCCCACTCTGAGATGAGCTTTTCACAGTCAGGATAGGAAAAAACCCAGAACAGAGGTGTGGGGAGAAGAAAGGATCCACGTTACTACAGGATTCTTATGACCGACACCTACTCAGAACACGTGAAGCGGAGCTGATCTCATCTCAGGGGATGGAAACAGACTGGAGAGGCTTCTCAAGACTACCTGTTGTTTCCTCTGACTGAGAGTTTACTCCATGGCAACAGCTTGAGCTGTCGGTCACAGCCAAGCTGAACGCAGGCAACAAGAATGCCCAAGGGATGCACAGTCGGGCACAGGCCTCACCTCAAAGGCTGCTGAGATGATCTTGGCTTTCTTGCTCAGCACTGACCCCACGGCATTGAAGTTCTTGTCTCGGATCTCAGCATACAGCTCTTCAGCAGAGTTCAGCTGGAGCTTCTTGGGTTCTGTCGGGAGATCTTTTCCACTCTCACCCTGCTTCTTTGGGGCAAACTTCTCAGGAGGGAGTTTCACATAAGCTACCAAATGCAGAGAAATAACCCTTATAAGGACTGGAACTTCACCACCAGAGGTTAAACTAAGTAGGCTGTGGAAACATGTCCCTTGAGCTGGAAACAGTTCTGAGCAGCAAAGCTAATACAAACACCCAGATGACTCGGTGCATATGTGCTAATTAAGGAGTCTCTCCGAGCGTTGCGCAGGGATCCAGAGACCTGCACGCACAGGCGTGATCAGAACTCAAGGCCTAGCCACCCTGCTTTCAAAGAGCTTTGGAGGCAGCCTTCCAGCTGGTCTTAAAACCCATAAATGCTTCTCTGGAGTTTTTCTTACCTCCTCCTGAGGAGCAGGAGAGCGCTCTGAATAGCCTTTCACAAACTGTTCCTGTGTAGGCACATGAGCCAGCCAGGCTGGAGGGTGAAGGCACAAACCAACATCTCCATGCCCACATGTTCTGTGCCACTGCACCCAGCCAGTATCCCAAAAATGCCCACTCGGTAACCGCTTACTGTGCTGCACTCCCCTTCCTAGGCAAAAAGAGAGCCAGAGCTGCTCTTGATGGGCTCTGGCTTGGGACTGAACCATCCCTGCACTGAGTTCAGGTGAGCTGCTCCCACATCACTGTTTTTTAGTGAAGCAGAAACCCATCTGGCGCACTGCAGCCTCCCCTGGCACGCCGCAGTCCTCCCCCTCACCCGGCAGTACTCACTGTTCTGAATTCCGTAGATTTCATCTATCAGCCCTTCGTAGGTCAGCTGTGTGGCCAACGGTGTCAGCAGATCAACGTTGCGGTCCAGCAACAAGAGGGTATCAAAGACGGGAAATATCGAATTCTGGCTTCCAGGGAACTCACGCTTCATCCTGATCATCATATTGGCCACATGCTGAAACAGATCACGTCCACCTGGTTATGGTGTGGGTCGCAACAGATGAGTTTGACTTCTAGGGCCTAGAAGCAAATGCTCATGCAAGTACGGGCATAGCCCTGTGTAAAGGAAGAGAATGGCAGGAGATAGAAGTCAGCTGACAGATGGGGGCAGGACAAGACCAAAGCAAATAAAAAGTACTTCTCTGCTGCTCTCTGTAGCTAAGCATTGACTGTGGCCAAAACACTGGGTTCATCTCAAGCCACTCCCTCATTAGAAGAGGTACCAGTTAAACCACAGGTTGATCAGAGAGAACAAATGGGTGAGGTGTAGGGAGAGATAGAAAAGCTAAGGCATGAGCAGTAGGCTACAAATTGCCCACTTTATTCAGCCCTTCTGATATCAACAGAGCAGCTAAGTGTTAAAAACTCCATAGAAAAAACTGCTGAAAACATGAAGGCAGCGTTCCTGTAAGCAAAAAGAATATATCAGAGAAATCCTCCTGACAGGAAGACTTTTGGAACAGCAAAGATTGTCCTTTTGGCCAGAGATGTGAAAGACCTGATAGCCACGATACCGAAATTCCAATAGGAGAAGAAGGGTCCATAGCTGGATTCAAAAACGCCAGAGGTGCATTTAACCAAACGGCCCTTAAGGCACTTCCAAAGAACAAGACACATTCTTTTTCAGCAGCATTTGTCTCACCCGAGCACACTCGCCTTTCCCAAAGATCTGCGGGATGGTTCCGTAGAGAGCCTGCAGTGTCATCAGCCCCTTTGCCGCATGGTATAGACTCGTCTGGTCGCTCTCCAGGTAACATTCCTAAACAGCAAAAAGGATTCCCGATGGAAGGTGTCAATACGACACAGCAAGACACAGCCCAGAAGAACAGTTCAGAGACAGGCTGGGGAAAAACTATGGCCGTTGGCAAATACGGACGTTATCTGTGCTGTCACTGCATCAAATTGTTTGATCAGACCAGACGCTGTAATATTTCTGAACCCACATGCTGCAGAGGAGTAAAACAGCCAGAAAGTGACTGCAAAGAGCCTCCCCCTCTAATTAGACCAATGTGAGCACACACCACCTCACTGGAGCTGCTGACAAGCAGTTGCAAGCCCTGACACATCCCCTGGGCTACACTTAGTAATGTGGAGATGGCCAAAGAAACCCTCAAACCTTTCTGTCCCCAGATGCAGCGTTCTGAGAAAACAGGACACATAGCTGATACGTGGCAGCTGTCAATTCTCAGTGCAGACGGGCGTGCCGCATCAGCCACTGTACTCTTTGTAACGACTTGGTATCTCAAGCCTCATGAATGCTCAATTTGTGGTAATAACAGCAGCAGTTAAAGCTGGAGGAACTGGGCTGCAGCTCTGTATAGTGATTGTTCCTTCAGCGTGCAGTCAGGAGGCACAGAGAGACGTTCAGGCTCAGTTCAGTGCTCTGGATCAAGCCACACTTGCTCTGCAAGGCCCTCCCCACTGCACGGGTACCTGACAAACCCCCGAGAGCCTCTCTGCCCACACCGACAGCCAGCACAGCACCGCACAGCGTCTTTCCTCTGAGACAAGACGAGCACCTACCTTGAACGCACTCTCGGATTCCATGGAGAGCAGGTCTCCGTCGAAGGGTATCAGGTCCAGGCTGTACTGCTCTCGGTGGATGAAGGACCCCAGCACACCCTGCTCCTTCAGCCACTGCTCACAGAGCAGGCTGCGGCGCGGCACAAAGAGGATGTGGAAGTCCCTCTGTGGAGAGCGGCCTCTGTCCTCCCTAGAAGAGTCGCAGGCAGGAGTGCAGCACGCGGCCACTCAGCTGGGCAGGTGCCCAGCACAGACCCCGCGCTGGGAGCACAAATTCAGGGGAAACGGGAACACCGCGCTCGCTTAGTATTCCCCACTTCCAATTGCAACTTCGTATTTCAAAATAT